GGGTGTACGAGGAAGACCCTCTTCAGCAGGATTGGATGAGATCGCTGAAAGGCTGGTGTTTGCAATTAACACTCCCCAGGACACAACAAGGAAGGAGACGCCGTTTTACCTCGTTCACGGCTGGGACGCACAATCCACTCTCCGGGCGATGTCTTCATCACTCGGACGAGGCTCCAATAGACAGTCCGATGCGTTAGCAGCCGGCTGTTCAAGAATGAGCGACGACGACATCAGCCATGCCAACCTTCTCAAGAGTGCTACTGCTAGCCCAGCGCCTTCAGGGTATCTAGAGATAACTGCAACTAGCCGTGGGCGAGCGGAGACTCTTCAATCTCATCAGGCCAAGCTGTGCCAAGAGCTGCTTCAGTCCCGGCTTCAGCAGATTGAACTAATGGAAAGGAAGCTTGAAAAGCTGGCCAAGTACTCGGCGAAGCTGCTAAATGCGCACGATGAGCTGACTACAATGATCTCGCTCGAAAAGGAGGAAACCACCCGCATTACAGCCGTGGCGGGGGTTCCTATTCGCAGCTCAAAATACGTCATGTCTTACTCTGTTGTGCTGGAGGAGTGTTGCAGTTCGATGTTAGGCCACACGCAGCATTGAAAACATGAGGACCAGAGCGAGTAAGAAGAACACAATTAATTGACTTCCTAACAATATATTTTACGTCTTAATTGTCGCCAGTAGCTCAAAATCTGTGTCTTGGACAGCCTTTGCTACTTTGTTTTCTCTTGTGGTCACCTCGGGTTGCCTTAAGATCATCCACATAATGCGGAGACGCATAATAGTGACGTCGTCGTGGCTTACAGCACATCGGGTAAATAGCAAGCTATTTTTAAGCATCGTGTACACTTGTGCGAGAACTAGCACTCCGCAAGAAGTTCCGTCACGCTGCTTCGGTCCAGAAAGCCACACATTCTCCTCTACGATTGGATATGGCTCTCCCGGCGTGGTAGAATCGTGCCAAACTTTCAAAAACTCGGCCACTACTGTCTCGTAGGTGTGCTGAAGAGTGTCGTTGTATGCCGTAGAGCACAATGGTTCGTAGAAATACGGAGTGACTGTCGCCATCACCGTCCGGTATGAAATGTCGACAATAATCACACCCCAGTGTATGTCGCTCAAATGAACAGGCAACACAACGTACTTGCAGCTCTCAATAGGGATTTCAGGTGGCCTCGGGCATCCCAATGACGGTGCGAATGAGTCCAACGCATAGCCGTTACCAATCGATTCACAAATGCATCGAATTCCAAAGTCGATAATCGTATCACTCAGCATACGATCTCGGGCAACCATGCCAACCATTTTCTCCACCATGACAGTTCCCTCACCACAATCAAGTCGGAAGGTTGAGCTTAGGCAAGCGCCTTCCAGTACACGCACGATGTCGTCCGCCAGTTGTTGATGACTTGCGGGAACGACGTCAGGCAATAGAGCAGCCGTACCGGTCTCCTCATCGAATACCTCCGGGTGTGCGCGGATCTTTTCCCACTTTGTCGATAACAGTCAGTCCACATCTGCCATCCACGAATTGTATTTCTTGATAATACTGAAATACTCAACCATTCTGTAGACCCCACCACTTGTAGCAACACAGAGCTACAGCAACACATGAAACAACACAAGTAAAGCACAAACCTAGTGAAGCGAGGAGTACCACCAGGAAAGAAAGCTAAGACTTCGTTCGTGGATCCCTCCGGATGCTCAACACCTTGCTGAACATTGAAGTGCTTCGATTCTTGGTGCTTCTTCTTTTCGGCCGCAACCACAGCGTTCAATTTGATCACCAAGCTCTGAGGAATCACGAAATTGTAGTCATAGTCAGCCGTACAAACGAATTCACGACAGCTCCGAGGAGTTCGGGCGCCCATGAAAGCGTCATCCATGATGACAGGGTAGTTTCCGAGTATCTCGCTCACGTGATACTGGTCAGTCGTGTGGTTCGCCCATTCCAAGAGTCTCGAAAGTGACGGTACGTGTTTATCCGGAAGCGTGATAGCAGCCAGCTTCTGGGGCTTTTCGTGCTTCACTAATTTGCTCTGTGTCAGCCTCTTCCTCTGATTGTGTCGAGGCTTGGGATGAGGGATACGAATAACTTCGAGTCCGCAGTTAGTGGCGACTTTCGCCTCACTGCACTTCTTTGGTGCATGTGTAGCCGCTTTTGTTGACTTCTTGTGAGCTCCAGGACGCCTTTCGTGTTGATGGTCGGCCGACGGTAACGCTACTTATACCTTCTCCTTTTCCGTACTGCTACTTCCACGACAACCAACATGTGAAGCAGACACATTCAATGTTTGTGTTGCACTTGGTGTTGGTTCTTTTGTCACCGCAAATTTGTGTATGACGCCGCCACCTGTCTGGGTAGCATTTAGTGGTTTCATCTGCCGGATAAAATCCATCGTATCGATAAGTTCCGTGGGCTCAATGTCCGATGCGGCATCAGATACATTGGACTTGTCTGTTTCGTCGTCCTCGTCTGGCGAAGTCGTTGTATCTGATACGGATCCAGCTCCAACAGTTCACGTAGACCACGTTGAACCAGTTCCTTCCAGGCCTGCAATGCTGTGCAGAAAGCAGGACTCGACAGACCTGATAGACGCTCCAT